ATAATCCATTACTAAGTGCTAAAGAATACACTCCAATCTTTGTGAAAGGCGACGATCTTCTATTTCCCATGACTAGATTTATTCTTCCACACTCCACATCTCTATTTCTTCTTATTCCCTACAAATCAGAACATGTGTGAAAACCACATCCTGTATCAAGAATCCAAGAAATAGTACGCGATCAATCATTAGATTTAATTGTGTAAATACCTGCGAAAGATGGCTTGATCTTCCCATCCTTGATGGCTTGCAGATATTCCAGTCAGCTTCTCTTCCAGTGTCCTATTTTGTGGCAGTGGTGACACTCTGCCTCCTTAGGGTTTGAGTTTGGCTTAGCGGTACCAACTTTGGTTCCACTAGTAGAGGAACCATCTTGGGGCTCTCCCTTGTGGTGGATCTTTGAAGGAGCCTTCCTCCTTTTGCCCTTCCCTTGCCTAATTGCCAAAACAGGAGCAACGGGTGGAGTGGGAGTTGGTGCAATAGATTTGTCCTTGAGGTTGCTCTCAGCAGTCCTTGGAGTTTGCTTAGGGTGACTTCTTCTTTGTTCATGTGGTAGGCCATCCTAAAATGGTTGTAGCACGAGGTCAAGGAGTGGAGAATGATGTCCATATCCAAGTCTTCCCCAAAGTTAACGTTTAACTTGCGAAGACGATCAACATACCTTTGCATCTTTTGCAAATGTGAGGTTAGGGATTCTCCACTTCCCATCTTAGCAGTGATCATGTTGGTGATGATCTTGTAGCGCTCTTGCCTTGCGCTTTGGTGGTACCTCTCCAGCAAATCTTGGTGCATTTCATAAGGATACATGTCCTCATAGGACTTTTGGAGTTCAAGATTCATAGTGGCCAGCATAATACAATGGACTTTCGTTGCATCACGCACATGGGTCTCAAAGACGGCCATTTCTTCGGGAGTAGCAATTTCCGGATTGATCTTTTCAAGCTTTTCGTCGAGGACATATTCTTTGTCCTCGTAGCGGGAAATCATGTGAATGTATCTTATCCATTCGTTGAAATTCGATCCGTCAAATGTCACCTTTTGACATAGGCTCATTAGCGAGAATGAACCAGCAGCAGCGTTGTTTGCGTTTACGTTAGACATCTGCAAATAGAAAGGAATAAAGTTTGATTAGAATTGAATCCCTAATTAAACACCCAAAATGAAAAATTAGGGCTAGGATCCAACAACATTATTTACACATTAGAAAAGGGATGTTGTAATCCAACATGCAAATAATTTGGAGGTAAGTGAATGACGATTAACTAATTCTTCACCATGAAAAACATAAAGGCTTAGGTTTTAAATGTATTGAGAATTCCTAGATTTTTAAGATTCATTGAACTTTTCAATGGCATGTTTATATCTCGATATGCCTCTCTCGTTTGTGACTGGGATGTCGAGGATCACAAAGCGGGTGTGAATAACCATACAAATATAAATGGTGCCCTCATTGTTACAATCACCTATTCGATGTGCCGGTTAACCACACACGCTCCATCGAACTATGACAAACAATGAGTCACCCTTTGCCACCTTTGATTAGAACCAATTAGTGTGTCGGTTAACCACACACGCTCCACTAACTTCTTAGCAAGGGTGCAAAGTGTAATTTCCATGGGATTGCATCAATTCACTTTTGCCTAAAGTAACTAGGATTGGGAATTTTTGTAAAAACGTTTAGTTACTTTATATAGTTTCATTATACTTATTAATGAAGAGAGGATTGCCCTATCCTACCCGTTCGGCTAACGACCCTCCACCAATCAAGGAAGCGGTGGGTAAGAGTGGATACTCATTAAACGGTCATTTTATAGGCCATAACCTTATACCCCCTTATAGGTCGGCTTCGTGAATGAGGCCTACTAACGGTAAGACTAGCATTTTAGTTATACATACATATATACATACATACATATATATATATATATATATATATATATATATTAATCTTGTAATAATATAATAGTATAGGGTGTATTTTAAACATTTTAAAATACTAGGGTTATATATATATATATATATATATATATATATATATATATATATATATATATATATTAATCTTGTAATAATATAATAGTATAGGATGTATTTTTAAACATTTTAAAATACTAGGGTTTTAATTTCAATTTAAAATTTTCGAAATTTATTACCTTTAAGTTAAAATTTTAAATATTAAAACTCTTGATTTAACAATTATCTAAATTAAACAATTAATTTGAATTACTAGATCATAAAGGATTATTTTAAATTAAACAATTAATTTTATCCTAATCCCTTAAATCCCTCTAAATTTTGATAATATGGGATGGGATAATTAAAAATCTTTAATTACCATTTTTAACCATTAAAGGATAATTACAAGATATGGGATTATCCAAATCCCTAAATTTTAGGAACTTATCTTGGGGAGGAGGCATATCTCGAAAATTTAGGGTTTGCAAACCCTAGATCTCGAAATATTGGGCAACAAGGAAAGGGGTTTGAAAACCCTTCTCAAAATTTCGAACGCTAGGGTTCAAGAACCTTAAAATCGAAATCCTTGCCTCCTAGGGTTTATTGGCCATAAAGCCTAAAGTGTCAAATTTATACAACTGTATAATACTAATTGAAAACAATTCAACCAAAGGCTATGATACCACTGATGGGTTTTATACAATCAATCATATGTGTGCATGCAACCCTAGATTTGGATCTATGTTTCTCTATTAGATACACAACTTTATGTACACAAGAAGAACCCTAGCATGTACCTATGTATTTAGAAATTTATATGCTAGAAGGGATTATATACCTCTTGTTGTTATGTTGCAATAACAACACAAATCTTCAATCTCTTGTCTTGGAAAGGAAGTACCACAAGTGTAGTACCTCTAATGGCTCACAAACACCAAGAGCAAATGGAGAGGCAAGAGAGAGAGAGGGGGGGAGAGGCTAGAAATCGGCTCTAAGGCTTCTTAGAATCAAGTGGCCGATTTCCCTTAGCCAAGGGGTCTTTATATAGGGTAGAGATCAGGCTTTTAGTCATTATCCTTATTTAGTTGCTTGCCCACCAAGCAATCCATAAGATAAGTCTATATCCTTATCCTTGGACGAATTCTAGGGCTTATCCCCTTGAATCCGTCCACCTATCCCTTAGGGCATCCATTTCCCTAATTGCAACTATCATATAATTACAATTCAGCCCCTGTAGTTTAATTAATTACATTTGATCACAAAATTAATTTTTAATTAATTATTTACCAATATTAATTAAACAAATATGATTTCTCCTTTAATATATTATTCCTATAATATATTAATAAATCATAATAACCTCTTTCTCTATTATTTCTCTAATCAAGTTGCTTTGGTGAAGGCAACTCAAAAGAACCATGCACAACCGGGTCAAGTACTTACCAAATATGGTTACGGGCTTAGACACTAATCCAACAAAATGGTCATTTTACCCTATGAAGAGTTATTAGTTTTTGATTGAGTTTTATTAAGGAATTTATAGTCGGAGAGTCGTCGGAGCAGCATATAGGGATTTCCTCACTCAGGTTTTCAGCAGTCAGTCGTACGAGGTGAGTTTCCCTTCAATAGGAATGGGTGTAAGGCACCAAGGTCGACCCATAGTATGATATGTTAGTAGCCGAGTGTGGTCGGGGCCCATATCTCACATTTTAGTTTGATTATGGATATATGCTTGACTGATAGAACTAGTTATACATGTTGTCTATGTGATACTTGTATATTCTTTAGTAGCTGAGTGTTGGCGAGACACATATCTCATAACAGTTGAGTGGGCGGGGCCCATATCTCATAGTAGAAAAGTGTGGGTGGGGCCCGTATCTCGAAGTAACTGAGTGTGGGCAGGGCCCGTATCTCAAAATCAGCGAAGTGTGGGTGGGCCCGTATCTCCTAAGTAGCGGACTGTAGGCGGGGCCCGTATCTCCATGAGTGTGGGTGGGGCCCATATCACTTTAGTCGCATGTTATATGTGTATGGTATGTAGTAGTTTGGGGGAGCTCACTAGCTTCATGCTTACGGTTTTCAGTTTTGGTTTCAGGTACTTCCACTAGCAAAGGGAAAGGCTCGGGATGATCGCATGGCACACACCACAGTCTTCAGCCTGGGAGTTTTACTATGATATTTTAATATGAGATTTTGATATGTGACAGATATTATGACACCTTATGATACATGATTCACGATTTTATTTATGATTATGGATGATTTATGATTTAATAATAATTTGAAAACGAAAATTATGGTCCGTATTTTTGGGATGTTTCTGTAAGGCACCCAGATATGCCTGGCAGGATAGGTCGAGCACCTAGATATGCTTGACAAGGGTAGGTCGGGCGCCCCGGTATGCCTGACAAGGGTAGGTTGAGCACCCAGATATGCTCACCAGGGTAGGTCGGGCACCCAGATATGCATGGCAGTATTTTTTTTGTATGGTATGTGGTATGATTGGGGAACTCACTAAGCTTCGTGGTTACGGTATACAGTTTTGGTTTCAGGTACATCATTTTCAAAGAAAATGAGCAGGCACGATCGCAACGCATCACACTATGTTTTCCGCACATGAGATCTTTGGAATTATGCTATGATATTGTTTTATGATGACATGTTTTGATTATTGATATAATGATTTGACGTGGAATGATATTATAAACGTTTTTATACTATTGGTCTTTATAACAACTTATTTAAAAATGGAATTTTTTGTCATGAATTTTGGGATGTTACAGACATCCAATAATATATAATTTGTTCAATGTTCTTCAGGACATTTATTTTTTTCCAATGTAAATAAGTTTTTTGGGGTTTTAAATAAACAATTAAAATGCGTTTCAAATGGATAATTATGCCATATTGTATTTGATGTTCCAAAAAAAAGATGTCACAGTTGACATAATGTCAATATTATGCCACTTGAATAAATAAATTCTATCATATTCATATTGAATGCCACAATGAACAACACCTCAAATAGAATTTAATAATATTTATCCTTTTAAAATTTACTTCAATGGTGAAATAAGACCCTAAAAAACATCAGTGGTCTATTGAATACAATTAAAAGATCAGTGACAAAACTACATACTATTGGTAGTCATTTTATGAGATTAACTACATTACATATATATGAAGAACAATGAGAAACTATAGGGTTCTTTCCATCTATATACATATAAACTATATGCTTTAGGACATAGTTTTAAGTTGATGTCAATATCTATATATTGCTTAATCACTATAGACTATAGAGTAGTTCCATACTTAGCTAGCTTCTTTCTCTTTTTGTGGTGATTCTTGGACTTTACTATACTGTCTTTGCAATGAGTGACTCATACCTCTTAATAGTGAAGAAGGCCTATGCTTCTTTCTTAACTTAACCCCAAAAAGGAATGACCTGAAAGGTACCTTTGACTTAGAGTTTGACCCTTTTTTCTTACCAAGATCCGCATCCAACTTTATTAATGTCTCTTCGATTTCAATATGTATCATTTTGACCCTTTCGCATGCAGCTCGTAACTCATCCAGTACTTTATTATTCTCTTGCTTCATGTTAAGAAGTTCCCCTTGAAATTTTGCAGCTTGACAATCATTAAGTGGTCTAGCTTTCTTTTCAGATTTTGAATCGTCATTTGTCAAATTTGCTAATTCATTTTGAATTTCGCAAAGTGATATTAATCTATGTTGTAAATCGTCTTCTAAAATTTCACTTGATTCCAACCATAGAGTCACTTCTGCCAACATGTCTTGTAAATGTCGATATATTGGTCGAATATCCGAGGCAAAAGAGGACGAGTTTTGATGATAGTGACGTTTACTAATCGCATGCCCAAGCCCATATTCCTGTTTCTTTTCTTTCCCTTCTTTTGCATCTCTTGCTTCCTGTATTTCTTTTAGTAGGTCATTTGTTGTATCTTGAAACCTATTTATTTGGTGATATGTTGTACTAAATCTTAACCATAACTCTAAGCTCTCTTTTCTAAATTCATCGATTTCTCTACGTATCTCATCTTCTACTTCTCTAATTTCATTAGGGTCATCAACACCATCATTCAAATCTGGATCTTTCTTTACTTCAGTCTCTAGGTTTTCATCACCATTTGAGTCTTGATCACCTTCCTTTTTTTCATCAAATTCTTCTCTTTCATGTGCCCCTTCATCAGTGGAATCAATTTCCGTAGTTTCAACTTCTTTTATAACTGAATCTTGTGCTTTTGTTACTTCAAAGTCTATATTTTTATCTAAATTTGTTTCAAAAAGTTTTAATTTTTCATGTAACGACCGAATCTCGTTATCTTTCGAGTCATTTGAATTTTTCAACATCTTCATCTCGACAGCGGTTTTGAACAATCTTGCACGATTCTTTGTTTCGGTTTCAGTGAGCTTTTTTTTCAATTCCTTGTAGTTTCTCAATGTCGATTTGTATTCCTCAAGTAACATTTTCTCTCTTTCTTCTATTTCATATGAAAATTTACGCTTCAAATTCGATTGATCTTCTTTACCCATTTGATCACCATTAACATCAACAACAATATCATGTTCTTCATTGATCACCATTTTTGTCAATGATTGTTCTTGTTCTTGTTCTTGTCCTTGTCCTTGTTCTTGCTCTTGCTCTTTCTCTTTCTCTTGCTCTTGCTCAAGCTCTTTTCCTCTTTCCATTTCCATATCTTTTTTCTTTACAGAATCCTCTAACTCATGACTATCTTCATTAGGTTTCATTACAAAGCCCTCAAAGTCATCATTATCTTCATTAGGTTTCTTTTCTAAATCATTCTCTTCTTCTACTTCTGATATTTTATCATATTCTTTCTTCTCCTCATCGTCTGAAGGGTTTTCATCTGGTTCAGCGATTAAAAGCTCATTAGATGCATTATCAAGATTAACACTCGCATCATCGAACCTGGTTTCCAAATGCACATTTTGCCCTTTGACTTTCTGGTCAAGGCTCTGAATTCCTTCTAATTGTTCCTCAAGCCTTTTGATCTTCATCTTCATTTCATTTGAATCATCAACGAGGTTCTTGTTGTCATGTTCCAAACATTGAAGTTGTTCATGAAGATCATCGTTTTCGAATCTAAGCCTCATTACAAGTGCAGTCTGGGACGCCAAATCAATTTCTAATATGATGACCTTATCAACAAGTTTCTCAATCTTCTCAGCAACTTTAGAGATAGTAACAGGTTCGCTTTTTCCAAGAATATCTTCTTTGATCCTCAATTTTCTATCTTCAACCGTTTCAGTTTCTTTTTGGTCAAAATTACATTTGGGTTGACTTTCGATCAATCCTTCTTGACCATTTCCATCTCTATTCTCTACATTCTGTTGTTTCTCTTCGATTTTTGTTGTTTTGTCTTTAACTTGTTGGCTCGTTTGCTCCATGTTCTTAAAATCTGAATTACTGTTATTGCTCGACATCAGAGCCTCAAACTTCTTTCTAATGTCGCCAACCCTTTTGTGTTCAACCGTCGCCTCTTTTTCAACGCGGTTTTGTTTATGTTTCAAGTTGGCGAGTGTTTCTCCACACATTTTCAATGCCGAAGATGCCATCAAGGTTTGAGCATCGTTATCCTCGATCACAGTCCTGACCTCCAACTCATCCTGCAAATTGCTAATTTTAGCATGCATCTCAGTGATGTTGGTCTCGATTTCCCAAAACTTGGATATCGCATTTTCGTATGAACATTTTACAAATTCTTTTTCAGTCTGAAACCCTAAGATTTCCTTTTGAAGCTTATCGATCTCCTCAAGTGCCTCGTCTTTACTCAATCCGGAGCTTTTTACGGGAGCTTTTTCATCGACCCCGATTTTGATAAGTCCTTTTTTTGACATCATTTTTCTTGGCGCTTTCTTCTTCTTGAGCACTGCTTGAACTGCGTTTTCCATTTTTGGAAGATGGTTTAGTTTCGGTGCTTCTAGCATCGACGTTGGCAACGGCAATGGCGCACCTGTAGGGTGCTTTTCATGTTCCTCTACACTAAACGTGAAATCTTCATCGTCTTCTTCGTCAATTGACATTTGTACCCTTTCGGGGAAGATAACGGCGATGGTTCGATTCGCGCTTTGTAGATCTTTCGATAAATGATCGTATCTTTCTGCTAATGCTCGATATTCCCGAAAAGTATCTTCTACGAAGTTTACGATCTCGGGCCTTTTTTGATAGTATTGTTCAGCCCTAACCCTAAACGAGTCTCCATCTTCTGTGATGATTTTCATTATGTATTCTACCTTTTCCTCCATATCTGAAAGCCAACATGAGTAACACATTAACACGTTTCAAAACTCAAATAGACGCCATTGTTGAAGCTCTGAGAAATAATATTTTCTTTAAACTAACAAATTGTTAGAAATGGACACAAGTAATGTAATGCCAAAAGGAACACAACCCCAGAAACTAACTGAATTTTGTTTCTCTAAGTATGAGTTTTGATAAAGATATCAATACCTTGGAGATTCTGGTCCAGCCATTTTGATTGCTTGGTCCTGATGTGGCTAGCCCACCACCATGAATATGCATTTCTTGAAGCTCTTGTCAACATCCTCTTCTTCCTCTTTATTCTCCAACTAAGAATCCATATTGTCCACAAGAGTCTTTTTTTTGGTCGGGCCTCTGGCTACCATTTAGCCTAATGGTTCTTGTCATGTGATTCCTCATTGCTTGAGTTTATGAAACTTGCATTAGAAGGTTATAGGATTGATTGAAAAATGGATGATCATTTGGTCAAATTGTTGGTATTCAGCAAGTTTCTTGAAGGGTAAAATTAAGATTACATTTTTATGGGGTGGGGAAATTAGTGGTGAGATATTGAAGGGGGGTACTAAGTTTGGACCATTGAGGCGCATAAACATAGGAAACGATCACCTAATCTGCATATTAGCATTTTAACAAAAGAGGGTTAAGCATGTAAAGCTTATATTTCAAGCAGGGTTGGTGGTAATAGATTTTTTATTGGACAAAACCCTCATTTTTCTTTTTATGTTGAAAAAAACATTGGCATTTTGATTATTATTATTATTATTTTTTTTCCGTTTGTTTTGTTTAATAAAGATATTCCGTGAAGTATTATTTCGGGGATGTTGAATTCCTAAACTTATTTAGGTTAGGATGTTTGTGTGGTGTTAACTTTTTTATTGTGTGTGGTCCCAAAATGTACACATGAAGGAAGGAAGGAAGGAAGGAAGGAAGGAATATTTTGCAGAAATGAAGTTGGGGACCAAGCTACAACATACGAAAAACAAGCATACGTACATACCAAAACCAATTGCCAATTGGCATTTGGTGTGTTTGAGTTTGAGGTAGCCCCACCATCATTATATCAATCTGTCGCCACCTACGAATGAATCCCCTTTCACAACATTACAACCACCCTTCATTTTTGTCTTTTCCATATTACAGTGTAACGACTTTATCATCAAAAATTATGTTGATCAGTGTTTGTAAACAAAACATATGATATAATTATATTATAATAACAATATATTATGTACAAGAATTTTGCAATGCTGATAATACAATATCATTCAACAGTATACTGTGTACAAGAATCGTTTACATTAAATTAGTCCGTGAAATAACCATATTATTACATTGATTTTTAAAAATAATAATACAAAACAAAATTAGAATACGACAACTATTACTTATACATAAAGCATAGTATACAAAATGTTTCCTATATGGAAACAAGATCAAAGGACGCTTCTGCCAAATTTGTCACACATTTTGGACACATTTACAATATATTTATTAATTAAGTCTTCAAAATCTCAAATATCCCACCCTATTTATGTTTCCTTACAACTCAAATTCAATAATATTTATGACAAAATTATGAAAAATATTTTGAAGAGATACTTGTCTATTATATTTGCCATCAACTTGCTTAAGTATTCATCATCGCTTTTCTTTCTCCACCCCCATTTTCTTGTCACGAGAAAGCAAAAAACATAATGGTTTCGGTTCAAGGCCATGCATGACACCGGTGGTGATGATATGAAGATGAAGAACGTAAAGTTGAATAGTGGAATTAGTTCAAGTAGCTGCTGCTCAATTAGTAGTACTAGTACAGTTAGAGAAATGGTGAAACAAACAAAAGTAAAAGAGATTACTCGTGAGTTAGCATCCAAAAAGCATGCCCTGTCTGAGCGTAAACGTAGAAGACGAATCAATTGCCACTACGACTCTCTTAGACACTTCTTCCCTCGAATACTCAAAGTAAGTATCAAAACACAAACATACATACACTTCATTATAATTTTGGTGCTAAAAAGTTAAAAACCAACCGATGTAGTTATTTGTTCATTTGGGGTATTAACCTACAATCTTGCATACATGATAATAAATAGAATTAATCTCCTAAATTTTTAGCTAAAAAAGATTACATTACATACGTTGCACTTGCAGAGCGATAAAGCCTCGGTGCTAGCAGAGACTGTGCGTCATTTAAAAGAGCTGAAAAAAATGGTCGCCGACCTAGCTCCGTCAGATCATGACGGTGACAAGCAATCGTTTTTTATTCCCGGCGAGAACGACGAAATGAGCGTTGGTTACGTCGCCAGTGGCAACAAGACAGCCGTCCGAGCAATTGTCTGTTGCGAGGACCGACCGGGTCTGAATCAGGACTTGACAGAGGCGATTCATTCAGTCCGCGGGAAGGCAGTGAAGGCTGAGATGGCGACTATCGGTGGGCGAACTAAGGCGGAGGTGGTGGTGGAACTGCGGGAGGAGGACGACGTTGGGCTGTTAAGGAGAGCGTTAAAGGCTGTTGTGGAAAATCGGGTCTTGGGTCGAACCGGGTTAATCAGTCATGGATATACTGAACCGGGTTTCGGACGGAGGTATGTAGATGGTGAAAGGCCCATATGTGATCAAATTGAAAATAGGCTTGCTGATGGCCTAATTGTAAGAAGTTCAGAGCAAAATACAAGTAAAGAGTAAAGATTATAAAGATTATGTTTTTGTGGTACTAACCGAAATAAAGTTAGCTGACAACTAAAGATTTAGTTTGTGAATTGATAAGGTAGCTGACAAATATAAAATAATACTCCATAAAAATACGGATTAATAATTCAATACTATTAGATAAATACATAATATATTTTATTAACATAAAACTAAAAAGAAATTAGCATGATATTTTCTTTATATTATCTGGGATCATTTTATAACCTTTTTCTTGATTAATTCGTTCCAACAAAATGACTCTTGTTTAAATATAACTAATAAAAATATATTTAAAAAGAAAAAAAAATTACATAACCTCAGTGAAATGTTGGACTGAAAAATCTGTTAAAAAACTAACTTATAATTCTACTTTATTTTTGTCAAACATTACGACCTAAAAAAATTGTGTTTTAGAGATTTTGTTGAAAACTTGGCACTTTTGTATACTAGTTAAAAAGAGTAAATGGTGGATGGCACCTGTATTATAATTTAATAAGGGGGAAGGGGAAGAGAGGAGAGTGACTTAACTCCAAACTACTACCATTACCATTACCATTACCATTACCATTACCATACATACAGAGAGATACAGATAACAGATACACTTAATTCCCTCTCTACTCAAAAACCTCTTTTTTTTTAAAAAGGTTTTTTTAGTCCAACATTCCCCTGGTTGCCGATCTTCTAAAGGTTACACTTGCACTTGGTTTGGACCCTAATCTATCCAGGTTCAAGTTAGTTACCCTAACCCTACTACAACTATTACAGCTACAATCTAACTTTCTACATTCATCCTCATTTGTCCTTGAAGTGTACAAGTGAGAAAGCCTGGAGTACAACGGGGATGGAAAGGAAGACGTGGATGAGGTGTCGGAATCCGACGAGGTCACGTTCATGTTGGTGTTGGTGTTGGTGTTGGTGTTGATGTTGGTGCTGCTGTTGTTCCAGTAATCATGTTCCCAGTCACCCGGAATGTGATCACTGGAGTCCCTTTGGGTGCTGCTGTCTGTGCTGCAAGAACATGACTCCGAGAAGAACCCCGAGTTGTCACTGGAGGAGGAAGATTCCTCCTCCAGACTCCGCTGCCGGTGCCCAGGCTGAGAAGCTGGCTGGTAATTGCAAGCCTCCCAAGGTTCAGTGGAGTGAACGAATGTTTTCTGTTTCCGTGGATCTTGATGCTGGATTATTGAGCTGCGTATTGATCGTGGGGCCCGTGGGGAGCACCTAAAAAACAAAACAAAACAAAATTGCTTGACTAATAATAGTAACATAAAATAAAAAAGATAAAAATACCTTGCATAAAAGAGCATGTATGCGCCTTTTGTCAATACATGTTGAAGATCCACCTCGTTCACCTACATTGACATGATATATAACTCATATAAGAAATGAAAGCTGGTATTTTTTTTTTTTAAATAAAAAAAAATGGTGAATACACATACCATGGTGTCGTTAAATTTGAACCATCGGTTGTGATGATTCTTAACATAGCAAACATAATGACCAGAAAAGGCATCATTCATGGTATCCACATGAACCACCACCCCATAAAGCCTGTAAACTGGCGACTTATCACTTGTCCCACTAACATACGGAGCCATGTCTAAAATCTCTGGGAACTCAACCGATTTGTTCAGCTTCCCAAATTTACCACACTGTAAATCAATCAATGAATCAGATTCAGTGACATAACAAGACTTGCACACATATCTTTGTGGTAAAAATATACCTGAAATCTCTTCAATGCAATAGTAAGCACATTAGGAGCCTCCAACAACGTCAGTTTCTTTCTGGCTTTCTCATAGGATTTGCACCTTAAGAGCAAATTAATTAATACACCATATAACAGTGAAAAGGATGTAATCGAAAGAAGATAGGTGAACCAAAACCAACCTGCTGCATTTGTATTTGTTTTCACCATCCAGAATCTCACAACATGTAAATTTATCCAAAGCCTCTTCCAAAGTTCCTATATCGCCTTCTATTTCAACTGTCAGATCCATCATCCTTTCATGCATCTCCGATTTGCCTCCACACTTGATGCAAATGATCTATTATATATAACAATCCAAAACCAAAATAAATACAAAGAGTCTAGTCACTATTTAAATTTATATCTCAAAGTCAAAAATCACCTTAGACCGTAGATAACCCCCAAAGGTAAGCCCAATCAGACTTGTTTCTTCTTCCAAAGAGTTCAAGGCATTTGCTCCTGCAGCTTCCTTGATGCAAACTGCTTGCAAAGCATCGATAACATACCTGTAATTATAAATTCACTACTAGTTTAATCACACCACACAAACATAAATAAATAAATAGATCAATAAGTTGTTCTTGTTCCATATCAGATTGTAACAGTAAAAGTTGACCTTAGAAACTCATGTGCATCTTCTTCTTTCCCATGCCCAAGATTGCTTCCGATGTTTTCAATATGGGTAAGTATGCGAATGGGAGACAACGGAGAGTTCCCATCTTTTGCCTTCATAACAAGGCCTTCAACCTCACATGTGAAGCACCATCCTCTCTTATCACCTAACAAACACTTTTTTTTTTAATAATAGTTTACTCAGCTCAAAGAAACAACTTGTTAATGCATGATAACATACATGCTTTGGAATGAAGCCCTTCCAGAAAATAAGCAGTCAGAGGTGGAGTGTATATCAGGCACTGGAGCACCGCATTAGCATAACAGCTGCAAAACATGTGCGCCATGCCATCAATATAGAAACTATTTAATTAAATAAGAAAATAATTAGAAGCACATAACAGGCTAATGCCAAGCCCTACCTGTTTCCGCAATTTTTTAGGCCACAAGGCTGCAATTCAATCTTTTTTGAGGCGTACAGCTTGACAAACATTTCGTATGGGAAGAGACCCTGTATCAAAATTATACCAAAACTATCTCACCTTATAAATCTCATAGAGTGAAAATTAGAAGAAAAAAAAAAAACAAGAAAGAAAGGTTCCAAGTCAGACCTTGAAAGCGTATCTGTCACTTACTCCCTCTAATGACTTAGAGGGCTTGACCTGGTCAACAGCTTTTGATTTTGATGTCTTGGATCCACTTCTAATACGACAAGTTTCTGTGAGTTTGGGTGAAGAAACGGTGTCATCATCCACCTTCACAGGCTTTGTAGCATGAGATGGATGTCTACTACTGGTGTTGGGAGCTTTTGGTGATGAACTTATTTCCCTAGATTTGGATGTGTGGGAAATCCTACTCTTGTTACTGGAAATATCATATAAGCTATCATCTTTAAGCACTGAAGCACGATGAGAAGGAGAATTTTTAGACTCCCTGAACTTGGAAGTATCATCCTTTGACGAATCACTGCAATCATTGAACTTGTTATTTCCCAAACCATCTATTATGACTTTATCAGCAATACATCCATTCGCAATATTGCTATTCTGATTAGCAGTGTAACTGCCAGCTGAGGCAAAATCATCATGATCATTGATACTCGATTTCTTGTTATCAACAGTCGTATCCCAGAAACCAGAAGATGTTGTAGAAGGCTCAGAAAATGAAGACGCGTTGTTTGTCCAACAAGATGAACTTGACTGAGCATCTTCATCACTTGGATTGGATCTTTTAAGATTGTTCTTCCCTAAACCAGTAGACTTTCTGGCAGGGCTACCCAATGTCTGGTGCAATGATTTCACTAAGTTCTCAACAGTAATACCTGCAGAAATTTTAGTACTACCCTGCTGGTGAGCAAGGGATGATTCATCATCCTTGTTATCAGAATTTTCTGGGAATCTCCCAGTCACAGACGATGTAAAAGTTTGCTGAGCTTCAGTATCAAAAGTGTCACTTTGATCTTCATGATCCACTTGCCTATAAGAGCTGCCTCCCTCATCATTGATTGGACTCACAGCAACATAGGGACGGCACTCATGTTTGTGGCCTTGTCTCCAATGAATTATTTGACATTTCCCAGAGCTGAAATTGCCATGCATAACATGAGACTTCCATTCAAGGAAAAAAAAAAAAAAAAAACATATTTGAAAGTAGGACTCTACTATTGTTCACATGTCCAATTTAGTTCATACATGAAATCTCCATCACACCCATATCTAAAATTTTGAAACACCACTAGAAACTATTCACTATATAACAATCTGCACATCTCAAGGTTTCTGGAAGCAGTTATAACTTATAACACACTGGTAGCAAATACAGATTCGATCTTCTAAATCATGTTCCTGTAATATTCTAGACCAAATCTTTCTCCTTATTTGATGTATCATGTAACCATAACTACTCTACATGCCAGTTTATTCTACAAGTTAACATAATGCTCATAATATGGCTGAATAAATGATATGTTGAATTGCCAAGTACTTTAGTGTCTGCTGGATGGGTAAGCTACTGATAAAACAACATACAAATCTAAGGGTTCTGCAGTGAATCACACCAAGTCTTGAGCAACACAAGGGTATTTATACAAGCGTACAACTCCACCTTTCCAAAGTGAAATAGTTATATAAAAAAATAAAAATGTCAAGACAGAAACATGAAGTTGCCGAAATCCAGGTTCAAAATATTCAATCTCAAAGGATAGAGTTGATAAAGATATTACAAGTCTATCATATGAAAGCATTTCAAAACAGGTCAACTTCATACTCATCACATCTTCACTTGATAATTGAGGAGGGGGGGATTATGATCTCAGATTATCATTTTGGAAATTTCCCACCATAAAGGCTAAATTGTTCCCTAAGATCCATCAAATACAATATGTATACATAGATTTACCATAAGTGTTGAGAAATACAAAAGTAAGCCTATGTCTCCCTGAAATCCGACAATCTAAACCCCTGTTACTAAATTATCCTACTCACAGCTCTCTTTAAACCAAAAAAAAAAAAAAAAAAAAAAAAAAAACATTATCTTGTATTCAATAGAAGAACTTTCAAATGAAACACCAGCAAAAATACTTAAAGCCTTGATAAGTAAGAATGTCTACCAAGAGCCAAATACATACTACAGACCCAACCTAAGTTTCAAAAATATTTTTTACGTCACTAAATTCTGCACAAATGTTTGCTATATTAGAAAATGTGACCTAATGTGAAGTCGGATGTGCCCACAAATTGTGCTAAAGATGCATGTTAAATTGCATATAAGTTATTATGTGTTACTAAAAACATCCATTTTATATGTCATATGTACTTCTCAATGACCAAACAATCTTTCATTCAAGGAATTGACTAGGAATTAAGAATGGGTATATGCATGAATTCCATCATAGGCTGGGCCATCAGAGCATAGCATCAATTAATTCTTAACATGACCGTTACTATCTAAATTAGAAAAGGGGGACGTTATTTGGTGACCTTGTTTAAAAGGTTATCACACCCCCATGCCCTTATCAGATGGACCATTTTCAGTTAAGTTTAAGCACCAACGTAGAAAGTAACCCTCCTTTTCTATTCAAAACAAAACTAACCACTTGTCCCCTCGTTTAAGCAAAGTGGAAAAGAAGAAAAAACGAGTGTTCTTTCCTAAGTCGTTGTCCATTAGAATTAAGCAAAGTGGAAAAGAAGAAAAAACCACTTGTGGTTGTGGTTGTGCCAGTGTTCTTTCCTATGTCTTTCTCCATTAGAATTAAGCACAATAACAGAACTGAAAGAAAAGGACGATTTATTTCATATTCAAGATCTTTGAATTAATTAAGCGTACCAGTAACGAACAGCTTTGCACTTGGCACAACGCGTGGTGGTGGGACAAAAGCAAACAGCACATTGGTATTGCGGTTTCAACGGAGAGCCCAATGGAATCGACACGTAAGTCGGAACCGAAGCGGGAGTCAAAACCGAAACCCTAGCCGAGGGCGTAGCGTTCGCAGTGTAATAGTACGATTCTCGGGCTTCAAACTCAGCCCTAGCTAACTCCTCTGAAGCCGATACCACAAGCCTCTTAATCTCCTCACTTCTCGCTACCGAATGCCGTAATTTTCGACGGATAATGAGCACGATCACTGGCACAACCACAACCACAACCAGGAACACCAGGGAGGGAAACCCTAGATCCCGTCTAACAAGCATCTATACAAAATGATGATGCATCCAGAAAAATAACAATAAAATCCTAATTCCACAACAATCATAGAGAGATTCCTCAATTACAAGACAACTTCTCAGACAGTAATTATCAAATGATGCCTTCAGAAAGATCGAAGTCACTACTTTTTCCACAAAATTGATGCTTACAATGACGATTTCGGTACATATAAGAAAATCTTGAGGCGTGATGAGTTTCCTAGTGAGTTCTTGGTGGAATCTGTAGAGATTTGCAGATCGAGATTTTAGGGCTTGAGAATATTAGTACGTTAAAATACGTAAGAAACGAATTTTTTTAGCATCGAGAGACGTGAATTATCAGCTCATCTTATATTCCCGACCCGAACTCGCTAGGGATCCGATATTCAAATGTAAAAGATATTCTCGGGTAATTTACTAATTTAGAGTAAGTTACAGTTTTGGTCCCTAGCTATACCACTTTTTGCTGATTTGGACCATGTTTTATTTCTTGCAAGTATGTCATTTTTGTTTTATTAAAATACCAAAATTTTAAGTCATTTTTGAGATATAAGGCCGGACGGTATCATAGCGGCGGGAAAGGGGTGAGGGAAGTTTCTCTCACTCTGGAACATCATCTCTTGGGTGAGGGAAGCAACCGGCGGGAAAGAGGTGGAGGGAGGGGGTGTCGCACTCTCTTTTTTCATACTATTGGACTTTTTTTTCTTTTTTCTTTTTATCTTTTTTAATATTTATAAAATTATATACCTATTAAAGAATATAAAAATATATATCAAAATTGTTTTAAATTTTGTATAGTATAATATACGTATGAAATATATTTTAAAAAAATAATAAAAATAGTGATGGGAGCTTCTCACACATTCCTTAGGTTTTAGGTGAGAGAAAGGATTGTGTGGCCCACAAAAAATGAAAGAAACATGTCTCTCATATCTTCCTGTCTAATCTGTATGCATCAAACTATTTCACTAAAGCATCTAAGTATAACTTTTTCTATTTTCGATGTTGATTATTTTAAACAATAAATATTAACGGTTTTCTTCGCGGAATATATATATATAGCAATCTTTTTGACATTTTATTTAGCTATTTTGATTATTATTTCTTCCTTCATAAAACGTTCTTCTTCCATTGGGTTACTTTTGTGTTCTTTTTAATATTTTGTGGTATTTTATAATTTTATAAACTTGTAATTTCTAAAGAACCATAGTCCTTGGAACTTGGTGATTATAATTAATACATCAGATTTACATATAAATATCCCTGATCCTAAAAAAAAAATTAATAAAAATAGAGAAAGACAATCATCCTTTTTTATATTCATTTTTTTCTTGTTTTCATTTATCATCATTTAAATTATGTTACCCTTTTCCTTGCAGGAGATTCAATTTCATCAACAATTGTAAGTGATATGCATTTCATTCTCGATATATGTTTTTTTGCATTAAAAATTCATGTTGTGTTGCTGATTGTGATATAAGGAATACAGGTTATTTATTTGTTTGAATGAGTGAAAGCTAATCTCAATCAAATGATATTGAGAACCATATGATGCCTAATCCCTTATTCAATACATCTGATTCGAAGAGCAATATGGTTGAGTCAAAAACAAACAACTTTGCAGCTACAACCAGCAAAAACAATAATGCTAATTTGAAACACAATAACTCTGTCATCACCGATAACAACATTGAAACAAATAACAACTCAGTTGTCAGTAGCAACAACATCGATGTGAATACCAACTCAGATTCAAAAACAAGCGTTGACGCTCTCGCTCAGGTTCGAGAGTTGCAGTTAACTTATTATTGTTATAATATTCTACATATTTACCTCAATCTGATTCTTCGAGTTGATCACTGAAGATACATGTATAAACATATATTCAGTTATCCAACCTCTATGTTGATATAAGTATGTAAAGGTCAATGTGAATATGTAATCGATGGTAACTTTTGTTGGATTCTCATGGGATTTCTTCATAAGTGAGTGTTATCATTTTGTTTTAGGGATATGGTGGTGGTGGTACATTATCTCCACATGAGGATGCACAAATGTCTGAGAGCAAACATTCTCTTAATGGAAACAAGGTTATCCTTTTTCTTTAACTAACTTTTTAATTGACTATTACTTTTGTCATTGTTTTTTAATTCATAATCTATATTGATCCTCTTGTCTATTCAACACCGACAATTCCCATTTGTAGAATATGTTATAAAGCTTTGTTTTCATATCAAGACTAACCAAAAAGCTACAAAGTTATGCTTAAATATCTTGAACATACTACAATTATGAGTATAGTGCATTAAATTATCTTTCCTTAAGCCATTTTATTGTAGAAATGGACACTTGAAACTAGCTTCTTCACATGGGCTATAATCTTTTTGGATTTTGTCTCAACAAATTGAATGATAGAATTAATCTCTCTCTCTCTCTCTCTCTCTCTCTATATATATATATATATATATATATATATATAATGGGTTGGAACTTTCCACATTCTGTGTTGTTTTAATATATATATATATATATATATATATATATATATATGATGGGTTGGGCTATAATCTTTTTGGATTTTGTCTCAACAAATTGAATGATGGAATTAATCTCTCTCTCTCTCTCTCTCTCTCTATATATATATATATATATATATATATATATATATATATATATATGATGGGTTGGGACTTTCCACATTCTTTGTTGTTTTGATATATAAATATTAATTTGCAGGTATACAAAAGTGGTCCATTATTTTTGTCATCCAAAGGTATGTTATTTTCATAACCTCGTGATTACAAGTGTTCTCTTGTACAAATTTAAGTTAACAAAACGAACATATTTGATCATTGGATATGAATAGGCATGAAACTCGCTCTATAAATGTAGCAAACTTGATTGATTAAAATGAATTATATGAAGAAAAAACTTCTTATTTAATTTTATTTTGGTTGTTTAAATTCATTTTTACATTCTTATTGTTTATGGCTTCAATCATGTATTATGGCCAGTAACCAAAACTTAAATCACATATTTATGTCACCTTTTAATAAATTGTTCAATAACTTACATGTAATAATTTCCAACTAATACATTTGTTTTCTATCACCACTCGGTACGTATTGTTATAATCATGTATATATCTTATGTTTGGTTATTAACTAAGAATATGGTGTGTGTTTGTGTGTACGCGATCAACTTTTGTTATCCTATTTCCTTACTAAAACATTGAAGCAAAATATGCATAATTTACCATATAAGAAATCATAATAAAAGTAAAATTTTCTTTGAACACACTTATGTTGAATTGTAGATCATTTAGCATTTATAATACAACGTATGTATGATGCATTCATTAAAAGGAGAACCTTAGTACCGATCCCTAACACTATTATGACAAATTCATTTTTATTTGCCAATTGTTTTTTATTTTGATGGTACACCGTATTTTCTCTTAAATCCTTAAATTTCACTTGTTATGTAGGGATTGGATGGACCTCTTGGAAGAAAAGGTGGTTTGTTTTGACACAAACCTCGTTAGTTTTCTTTCGAAGTGATCCAGTAAGTTGCATATTTAAGTCTCTGGGGAGTTTTTTGTTTTATATTTCTCATATGTAAAGTATGTATTAAAATAATAATTTTAGTTTCCCTATGGACATTGTTTCACCTTGTGTATATTAAAGATCCATTAACAAATTTATTTTTTCATGTTCAGAATGTTGCATCTCAAAGAGGATATGAGGTTAATCTAACCCTTGGTGGCATAGACATCAACAGTTCGGGAAGGTAGCTTGTTTTCTTTAATTCCTTTAATATTTTACATTTTACATATTTGTACCTTGTTCTCGATTCTTTTTTACTTACTAAAAATCTTTCTTTGAATTTCAGTGTTGTTGTTAAAGTAGATAAGAAACTCTTGACGGTTTCATTCCCAGATGGTCGTGATGGGAGAGCTTTTACTCTTAAGGTGTTATTTCATAAACTTAGTTTAAATGTAACAGCAAATTGTATATTATACTTATGTTTTTGTGTTAACAATCTGCTCACTAGCATTGATATTGCATATCATCCTATTTTATAATATTAAGCTTATTATTAAAAAAAATCTTATGCTGTGTATTTAACATAAATTAAACACATTGCTTTTATACAATACTAATCAATATCCATGTTTTAATTATTTAATGATCCGAATAAAACTTTTTCTATTGTAGAGTATTTTCCATTTCACTTTGTTTTCCCTAAATGGGAATGTAATAACTTGAATTTGGAACTCAATTTTTTCAGACTGTTATGAAGCTCTATATGCCTACAACTTGCATGTTAAAGAGTTGCACGATAATGAAAAACACAATGTGTCACATTTTGTCATCGAACATGTACTAGTCTGATTATTTACAAGTATCAAGATATTTTCCCCTTAATGGGTAATGGTTGGTAGCTTGTTTCTAATTACAATCGTTAAGTGGATTTTTTTGTTGTAGGCTGAAACTGTAGATGATTTAAATGAATGGAAGGATGCATTGGAGGAGGCTTTGGCAAATGCACCAAGTGCTAGCCCAAAAGTGGGGCACAATGGAACATTGAAAAATGAGAACATTGATACTACCTACGGGTCTTCGGAACAATGTAAGAATAATATTTCGAGAAACAACTTATTCGAAATTTTCTATTGTAATTTTGGTAATCTTGTGATTAAAGATTCATATGGCAATATATAATCTATGTTGCTTTTTTGTTCTCTTACAATAGCAAACGACCAACCGCTAACAACATCATTGGTCCTTGGTCGTCCAATCTTACTTGCATTGGAAGATATAGATGGAACCCCATCTTTCTTGGAGAAAGCCCTTAGATATGTTGAAGATCATGGTAAGATGAAGCTTTCATTTAATATAGGACTCTTAACTTTATAGCAACACACTCTCCAAGATTAGCATGATCCATATTATTGTGGCTACATTTTTATTGAGTTGTTTGTCTTTGAATGTCTAAGGATTAAAAGTAGAAGGCATATTGAGGCAAGCTGCGGATGTAGAAGATGTAGAGCGTCGCATCCAAGAATACGAACATGGTGAGTATATAACTACAAATATATTAAATATATGACCTTTCTTTTCCATTGTGAAGCACCATTGTGGTTAGTGGTTTTTCTAGTTATAATTTAGGGAGTATGATATGTTTGAAAGAACCGCATATTGGAGAATGTTTGTGATTTCATATAGGGAAGGTGGAGTTTACTGCAGATGAGGATGCACATGTTATAGGTGATTGTATAAAGGTAAGTCATGCAAGTTATTTCTTGGCACGTTGCTAGACTATTCCATTTCCCTCATTGTACTTATGTTAAATTTTAATTGTAAACTCTTCATGCCTTTTTTGTTTCAGTATGTTCTTCGGGAGTTGCCATCATCCCCGGTTCCAGCATCCTGTTGTAATGCTTTGCTAGATGCGTATCGTAAGTTCATCGTGTTATTTTCTAATGTAACAATTTATAAACAATGTTGCTAATGGTTTTTTGGAGCTTGTAATGACAAATTATGGTTAGGGACCGATCGAGCCACGAGAGTTAATGCCATACGTACAACTATATGCGACACATTCCCCGAACCAAATCGACGTTTATTACAAAGGTATCAGATAAAACATTTTGTTTATGAATGGTGTATTAGTTTCCACCTTAATACATTTTGTATATCTCATGTTCATTGGTTTTTTATAGAATTCTAATAATGATGGAAACGGTCGCTGACAACAAGACAGTGAACAGAATGAGTGTTTCAGCAGTTGCAGCTTGCATGGCACCACTACTTCTTCGTCCCCTTTTGGCTGGTGAATGTAACCTTGATGGTCAATTTAGTATGGGTGGTGGTGATGGATCTGCTCAACTTCTTCAAGCAGCTGCAGCTGCTAACCATGCTCAAGCAATTATCATCACCCTTCTAGAAGAATACGATAACATATTTGGGGTAATTTCAACATATGTTCTTATTATTCCTATTGGTTTTACTTATTTGACACTCATATTTGTTAATACGTGTGTTCATAGGAAGGAGACATGTTAAGTGATCTATACTCTGATTCGGAAGAGCTTGGAAGTGAGAGTGAAGAGCTTAGTGAAGATGAAATCTATGAAGATGATGATGAAGATGATGGTGAATATTCGTCTGGGAGTTCTAATACAGATAAAGATTTTATACATGCATCAACATCGAGGCAGAGTGGTGATGATAGAGATAATCATCAAAGTCATAACAAGGTTGGATTCTTACACTTTTCATTTTGTTATTCAATGGTTATACAAGTTTTATGGTAGATTCATAAAATAAATTTAGAAAATGCAGGGACTTGGTCATGTTTCACGTTCCATCTCCCACAAAGTAACTAATGATCTTGATACCGAAAAAAAGCTAACATCAAGTATTGAACAGTCAACAACAAAATCAGTTGAACATTCTGAAAATGATAATGTGCATGCAAGTACAGATACAAATTCAAGTGATAATATTCATCGATCTTCAACCACTACAGATAGACCTCCAAACACGCAACGCATGACTTCTCGTCGAACAAGTGTACGTATCAGTATGTTATGTAGGTCACACATACACCCACACACATGTAAAATTTATATTTTAGTTACAATATGTGTTGCCTTTTTGGCTACTAATTATCGTTTGTTTAATTATAGGTAAATAAAAAGGCATCGAATGCCAATAAAGAGTAAGTGATTTATAAATTATAATCATATAAATTATTAAGATCTAACAATACTTCATGAATATTTCGTTTACTAGTGCTCAAGTTGAAAGGCTTGAGGTCACTAAAGGAGAACTTAAAGTAAAAGTTGAAGCAGAGGTAGTAACTTTGCATTTTTTACATTCTCGACATATTTTAACCATTTTCATAAAATATAATGGAATGCTAATTATGAAAAAATAATATGTAATTTCACAGGCAAAAGGAAACTCAGTTTTAAAAGAGGATTTGTTAAACAAAAAGAGAGCTTTTGAGGTGCATCGTCTGCAACTCGAGCAAGATGTATGTACAATATATTGATTGTACCTATGCATATACATATATATATATATATATATATATATATATATATATATATATATATATAAGCTATAGGACCTATTTCTCTAATAAAATATTTCTTTGGCGCGTATTGGTATTTTAAATTACATGTGTACAGGTGGCAAGATTAGAAGAACAACTACGAAAGGAGCTAGAGTTGAGGAAAAAACTTGAGACTAGAATTAAGATATCTCAACAAGCCTTATTTTCACATGAAAAGGTTTTCTAATCTTATACTTTATTGTTTATGAGATTTGAATATTCATTAAATTATTACACACCAATTCAAATGATTTTTCCAGACAGAAAGTGATGTCACAAGCTTACATAAAAAAGTTAGCAATACCGAAGACCAGTACTCAAAACCAGAAAAACTGTAAGTTGTTTTGTTCCAACAATTCTCACTTTGTCAAGATTAATTTCTTATAACTATTTACTCTTTATATTCACTTGGTTTGATACAGACAAGACTCTCATGAAGCAACAACTACTTCTCATGAGAGTAAGGTAGCATATTGTTGTTTCTTGATGTGTGTGTATATATATATATATATATGTGTGTGTGTGTGTGTGTGTGTATGTATGTATATGTGTGTGTATATATATATATATATATATAGTTTTGTATTAATATTTTTTTATTATTCATGATGGCTTATTGGAATCATTAAATGTACATCAAAAATATTATATCGAATATCTTTTATTTTTAAAGAAATTCACACATCTTACATTGATATAAAACTTCATTAAGAATAGTTGATTACATTAAGCTTATTTGATCCCTAAAGATAAGTTTTTTTATTCTGATAGGATAACAAGCATCAATTTCAGTCTTATTCTGCAAAATTACCTCCACATAAGCAACTTGATCCAACAAACAGTTGCAAGGTACATACAAATTCCCTTTACAAGCATTTTATCTTACTTAATTTTCTTCTATAATACACTCACAATTCATATTTTTATGTTTGTTTGTAGCAACATACATACTTTAGCAAAGATAACAATGACAAACAACACTTCTACTCCTTTTCTTCAAGATTACCTCCTAGTCAACACTCTGATTCAACAAAAGAAATGAAAAAGTCTTCGACAACCAAACCTAAACGAATGAACTCAAAGAATGAGGTATGTATATTTGCATATTTTTCTTTCTCAATGATTTTCTATAGTCAGTGTTATAATACTATGGTCCTTGGTAGACTACTGGTACAAATTCAGCAATGTCAAAGATTACAAATGGTATTAATTTCTTGAAAGAAAGAAGCAACCAACTAGCAGATGAGTTGCAAATCATGAACAAAGATAAGAATAAAAGTCAATCTCAAAGGCACGCTCGAAAAGACTCACAAGATGATTTGGACATCCAATCATCTATGAGACACAAAGAAAGTCAATTGCAACACTTGGATTCACATATAGATGGAGAGATAAGAACAAATGATCAATCTACAAGTTTATCAATGGATAAACTACATGATGAGAGTTCCTAACAGGCCAACTTGAGATTATGTGTGGGACTGATCTTAATAACTATTTTTTGCATGTATGTTGTATGATTCAAAACAAAAAAGTATTTATTATACTTGATTTAAGTTGTATAATGTAATATGAAATAGTGTATATCAGTAACAAATTTATAAGCCTACGCTAATGATACTCTTAGATGTTTCCATTTTTACTTAGTCGGTTTAACAAGGACAAGACATAATTAAGGAAGCTATATATGTGTTTTTCCATTTGACTTAAATAAGAAATAATGAATTAACAAAGAAAGTCAACAAAAATGAGGTTTTCCATGTTAAATCCTAACTTTTTACAATAATATCTTCATTTATTTTTTACGTGGAATGTGTGTTCGTTGCATTTAAGATAATTTATCGTTATTTCATTAATTTTTTACTTTAATTTCCTAAAGTGCGTTGTTATTTTTTTTCACATAATTTAAAACATAATTTATCTGGACATTGGTTGATGTGGATGATAGGAAAAAAGAAACAGGTTGTAAGTTGTCTTCCTAAGGACTTGCAACTTGAAGATCTCAACATTGATAACAATTTTTTATTGTTTATTATCACTTGGTCATGGATTTGGTTGATCATAAGTGATAAATTTGTTCATTTCGCTAGAATTGTAACCCAAACCCTTTTTGCTCTATTAAAGTATTTTGCGATGAACGAACCACCCAATTAGTTAGACTATAAGTGTGGTGACCTCAAATAGATTATTTTGTGATTTGATAGCTAAGATATCATTTACTGACTAATCTTATGTGAATGTTGATAACATGTCACTTGTTTGGGAATCATTGCAACATCGTCTCTATGAAAGTGTGAACTGTCAACTATCATCGTATATTACATATAGTTAATATATAAATTCAAAACTGAGGGGAGTGGTGGCGTGGTATTGGCATTGTGGTCACGCATATGGCAAGGTGATGTAAGCAATAGTTTTATATATTAATTGTATGAATTTGACACTTTAGGGTTTATGTCCAATAAACCCTAGGAGGCATGATTTTCGAATTTAGGGTTCTTGAACTCTGAATTTCGAAATTTGATAAGGGTTTTTCAAACCCTTTCCTTTGCCCCAATATTTTGAATTCTAGGGTTTGCCAACCCTAGGATTTTCGAATTTTGGCCTCCTCCCCAAGATAAGTTCCTAAATTTTAGAGATTTGGGTAATGTCATATCTTGTAATTATCTTTTAATTGTTTAAATATGGTAATTAAAGATTTTGAATTATCCCATCCCATATTTTTGAATTTTAGGGGATTTGAGGGATTAGGTTAAATTAATTGTTTAATTTAAAAGATAATCCTTTAAATTTTGATAATTAAAATTAATTGTTTATTTTTAGGATAATTATTAAATCAAGAGTTTTAATATTTAAAATTTTAAAATTAAAAGTTTTAAATTTCCAAAATTTTAAATTGAAATTAAAACCCTAGTATTTTGAAATGTCTAAAATACACCCTATACTATTATAATATTACAAGATTAATTAATATATATATATATATATATATATATATATATATATATATATATATATATATATATATATATAACTAAAAAATGTTAGTCTTACCGTTAGTAGGCCTCATTCACGAAGCCGATCTATAAGGGGGTATATGATTATGTCCTATAAATGGCCGTTTAATGGGTGTCCTCTCTCACCCATCGCTTCCTTGATTGGTGGATGGTCGTTAGTCGAACGGGTAGGATATGGCAAACCCTTCCTCATTAAAAGTATAATGAATTATAAAACTAACTAAATGTTTTTACAACAATTTCCAATCTTATTTACTTTAGGAAAAGTGAATTGGTGCAATTCCATGAAATTACACTTTGCACCATTGCTAAGACGTTAGTGGAGCGCGTATGGTTAACCGGCATTCTAATTGGACTCTAAGCATAGGTGGCAAAGGGTGACTCATTGTTTGTCATTGTTCGATGGAGCGTGTGTGGCTAACCGACACATCAAATAGGTGACTGTAACAATGAGGGCACCATGTAAATTTGCATGGTTATTCACACCCGTTTTGTGATACTCGGCATCCCAGTCACAAACTAGAGGGGCACATCGAGATTTAAACATGTCATTGAAAAGTTCAATGAATCTCAAAGGAATCTAGGAGTTTTCAATATATTTAAAACTTAATCTCTTTTTCGTTTTGGTGGAGAATTAGTGAATCATCATTCACTTACCTTCAAAATTATTTGCTTGTTAGATTACGGTATCCCTCTTCTAATTTGTAAATAATGTTGTTGGATCTTAGCCCTAGTTTTTTCATTTGGGTGTTTAATTGGGGATTCATTTCTAATCAAACTTTGTCATTTTCTATTTTAGATGTCAAACGTCAACAACAATGCTTCCGGCTCGAACTCCTCCGGCTCGTTCTCACTCATGAATTTGTGTGGGAGAGTGATCTTTGACGGGTCCAATTTCAATGATTGGATCCGCAACATCCGAATGGTTACTTGCTACGAGGACAAAGAGTATGTCCTTGATGAGAAGCTGAAGGAAATTAACCTCAACACTGCTACTGCTGAAGAAATCGTTGCCTTTGAGGCCCATGAACGTGATGCCACGAAAGTCCATTGCATCATGCTAGCGACCATGACTACAGAACTCCAAAATTCCTATGAGGACATGTACCCCTATGAAATGCATCAAGATTTGTTGGACCGGTACCACCAAAGTGCAAGACAAGAAAGGTATGAGATCATAACTTTGATGATCACTGCCAAAATGGGTAATGGAGAGTCCTTTACTGCTCATCTGCAAAAGATGCAGAGATATGTTGATCGCCTGCTGAAGTTAAATGTTAACTTTGATGAAGAGCTAGCAATTGACATCATCCTTCCATACTTGCCTCCCTGCTACAACCAGTTTCGCATAACCTACTACATGAATAAGGAAGAGGTCACCTTGAGCATGCTTCAAGTCTTTCTAAGGATTGCAGAGAGCAATCTCAAGGATAAGTCTGTTGCACTGACTCCCACTCATACTGTTGCGCCTGTCTTGGCAATAGGTCAATGGAAGGGCAAGAAAAGGAAGGCTCCCTCAAAGAGCCACCGCAAGGGAAAGTCCCAATATGGAACCTTTTCTAGTGGAACCAAAGCTAGTTTTGTTAAGCCCAATTCTAACCCTAAGGTGGCAGAGTGCCACCATTGCCACAAGATAGGGCATTGGAAGAGAAGCTGTCCAGAATACCAGCAAGCCATCAAGGAGGGGAAGATCAAGCCATCCTTCGCAAGTATTTACACAATTAAATCTAATAATTCATCGCATGTTATTTCTTGGGTTCTTGATACGTGATGTGGTTTTCACATATGTTCTGATTTGCAGGGACTAAGAACAAATAGGGATGTGGAGCAGGGAAGGATAAATCTAATTATGGGAAACAGAAGATCATCGTCTGTCATCAAGATTGGAGTTTATTCCTTAGTGCTTAGTAATGGATTATGTTTAGATTTAAACAATTGTTGCTATTCCCATATATGGCAAGAAACATCATTTCTTTTCATGGTTTATATAGAAAATATGTAACACCGTAAATTTCAAAACAAAATTTTCAAATTTTTATAAAACATAATTCATTTAATATTCAGAAAACAACCATATTTAATCATTCAATCCAAGTAATACAAAATCCCAAGATCTCAAAAACATAAATCCCATGCGTGTGTACTGATCAAGCCGGCGCCTTCTCGCGATCGTCACTAGTACCTGAAACAAATAACATCAAACACTGTAAGCACAAAGCTTAGTGTGTTCCCCAAATACCACATATAACACATATTAGCCACTCGAGGCTATAACTCTGTGGGTCCGTGCACCCAAACTCTGTGAACCCTCAGGTTCTAACTCTGTAAACATGCACAACATAAATCACATACAAATAATGCAGTACAACACATAACATACATAGCATACAAATACTCTATCACATAACTTTGGTTACCTACTCAAGGTAAGTATAGTGAGAAGACTCACCTCGCGTGTCTCGGTAATTCGTAAATCCTGAAATCACTAGTGCTCGATCTCCCGAGCTATAGTCCTCCTATAACACAATACATCTCTAATTAACACTTTCCCAACTAAGGTTGACTACCCCTTAACAAGTCAACATAGGTCAACGCTGGTCAATGGTCAACGGTTAACTTTGACCGGACTCGGCGAGTGCACTATAACGACTCGGCGAGTCTAAGCGCATACATTGATTTCCCTGGGATCCTCTCTTGACACGTCGAGTATTCTCCTAACTCGACGAGTTCCACCTAGCATGAGTTGTGGGGCCACCACGACTCAACTCGCCGAGTCTCAAGAACAACTCGGTGAGTCCAGCTTGATTCAGTCCACCTGTCAACCCACTCTGACTCTCCTTGACTCACTGAGTCAAACCATCAACTCGGTAAGACCACTCACTGTGTGGTCTGGGCAATATTCATGCTACTCGCCGAGCCCGTTCTTCGGACTCGGTGAGTCCATGCCATGCAATGACTCAAACTTGCTCATGAGGTCAGATCCGGTCCATTAACTCATAGATCCAATCCTTCTAAGCTTATTTAGCACGTAAAGTCACTATCTTGATGTACATACAACATCTATATGACCATATATGATGATTTTGTCCCCAAATACTACAACTCAAGGCCATAATCTCCATTGCTCTTCATACAGCTTGATGAGTGAGGCTCGCTGGACCTCTATGGATCCAGATCCAAAGCCTCAACATTAGAAAGGAACTATTTGGCATCAAATCAACCCAATAAAGGCCATAAGAAACCCTAAATCCAATTATACTTCACAAAACAGAAGATGAGTCGAAATCATACCTCTAGTTCGATGACCTAAGCTTTAAATCCACAGTATGGCAGCCTCCTTTGCTTCCTCTTAGATAGAACCTCCTTCTTCTTTGCTAAATAACACACAAAGGTCAAGAAATGCTTCTTTTCTCTCTCAAAATGTTCAAGCACTATAGGGTTTCTCTCTATGAATTGGTGTGCACAAATGATGGCCATAAGGCCCTTTAAATAGGTCTCAAACCCGGGGAATTAGGGTTTCCTCACACAGCGTGGACTCGCTGAGTCCACTCTTGGACTTGCCGAGTCCGGACGCGAACCCGTCCCAAAACCACGATCCTACTCGGCGAGTTTGAGCTCCAACTCGCCGAATCC